CCAAAATGGCATGATCCTTGTTTCACTGCGAAGCTTCAACTGTGAGATTGACAGTCGAATCAGGCTCCGACCATCAAAGCATCGAATCTTCGACTATTGGGGGTCAGCCCTAGACTATTGTAATGCATTATTTACAGGACTACCCAAAAAATGCAATAATAGGCTGCAACTAATACAAAATAGATCGGCAAAAGTGTTAACTAAAACTGACTACACATGTGAAAATGTCCTGTTTTCAAAATAAGGTGTCTATACAGGATGGAAATAAGATTAATTGGATTATATTCACAGAAAGTATAAAACATATTACATGTGTCCATTAAAAGTAAATGGACACATGTAATTTACTTTACCAACCCTCACGGGCCTCGGACCCAACCCCCATAGTCTCTCCAAATCCTATGGGAAACACTGAGTAAAAAGCACATTTTGACTATTTAACTTATGCAATGGTAAAAAAAAAAAATTCATAAATTAAAAAAATGTGAATGTACTTCTTCAGTATTCTTTAGTTTAGTTTTTCATTATATTCGGTTTCAGCTTCGGCCAAGAATTTTCATTTCGGTGAATCCCTTACAGAAAAACAGGAAAGTAGAGAAAGTGTGGTGTAGGAGAAAGATAAATTGAACGAGGGAGCTATAGGGATGAATAAAAAACAAAACCGAGTAGCAAACACTGCAGGAGAATGACAGTCAGCTAAGATGCAAGGTGGACTTTAATTCAGCCAGTGGCAGATCAATTCTGCTGAGTTCACACACCTCATGATAGCCTCATCTTATCTGACCCCTTCCTCTCAACCTGTGACACCTCTGGCCAAAACCATTGCTTTGGGCGCTGACCTTTTTAATTCAGGGGAGTTGGTTTTGGGTGTTAATGGGTGGGTCATGGCCATGCCCTCCAATGAGGCCTGCTAAGGACAGAGCAACCAATGTTTGACCCAAAACAATCAACAGAGGTGTCTGAATGAGTGGTCAACCCATCTCATGTTTATTTCTCTATAGCCAGAGTGAAAATGTAAGTCTATGGAGTGAAAATGACACACCATACTCTCGAAGTTTAACCTCGATGATGATTTAAATTGTCATGACTGCAATGTTCTGGTTCTCCTCTTTGACTGCTTGGCTATTTCGGTCTTATAATAGTGCTATCGTGGGTGTAAAAGTTCTGACATTCAATCCAAAATGCCTCAGAGTACTCAAGAGTCCACATTCAATGTGAGGCCCCAGTGACTTTAAGGGATCCTCTAATACATACAATGGTTAGTAAGATGCATTCCACATTGTACCAGACAACAGAAACACTCTAACTTCTCTCTTCAGCTGTTATTTACTTGCATTCTCTAATTTACAGTAATCAGGTGTAGCATAAATACAAAAATACCCAGTCATCTTTGACTCATCAAAGTCATCATTATCAGTTATAATATATACTTTTGCTGTGCTGACAATAATCAGCGGAGTCTCAGCTAGATACATTGAGAGGTAACTTCTAACAGAGGGTATTATTGTTTTTATACATGTACAACAATGCTGACATTTGGATGATCTTCCAATTCAATTGCACATCAGTTTTAATGCTATTAAGATCTTACATTTTAATTGCATTGAGTGTTTCCCCAGCCTGGATATTTGGCAATAAAAGAAATGTGAATGACAGGGGATGGCTAATCCACAAATCAGAGAGGAGGGGACACTTCACAAGACACACTGCCTCCTGTTTTCACAGCCAGACTAATTGCACCTCGTGTCGCTGGAAAAGCACTGATTTAGCACTCGGAGCATATTAAAATGAATAAACACAATTAGCTGTGAGTGCAACAGCGCCTATGCACAGCGCACATTTCTCTCTGCAACGACAGTCACTTCAGAGTAGCTGTTATTAACTGTGTCGTTTCGATGTGACTAATTGCAAAGCACTTGATGCCAACAAAATGCTTCTTATTTGGATCTGAATAAACTCTGGGAACTGGGTGGTTAAAAAAGTGGGTGATTGCCATTGTAGGCCTAAAGCCTTGTACAAATGACTAGTATGTACAGTAAATGTGTACGGTCTCATTTTTATTGATTATTATTGGCAACGGCATTGCATGTAGATGAAGCTTAATGCCTTCAAACTTCTCTACATTTTTGTTTTTCATCTGGGTTTTTTCAGCTTTATTGCTGAAACATGTATTACCTATGACAGAAATACAGTCAGTGGAAAACAAAGATTGGGTATTTTGGATTAAAGAGCAGCAGACCTTAGACAATCCACCCAGCCAGATCCACTGGATATGATTGCATGAATAGACTACAAACTTTCATTTTATGAATGAATTTTATTTTAATAATAAATAAACTACTTTGGTCCTTGATTACGACTGTTAAACATTTTATATCCTTTGGTTAGACCATGACATGAATTAAAATAGAAAAACAGAGGCCCTGTATGTGAATACACAAGTTATTTATTGATTTTTGGAGAGTTCATAATTTATTGTCCCATCATCCAATTTATCTGCACATGTGTTGCAATTTAGCAGGAGTATATGTGACCTTTGATAATAGGAGAAATCTGATTTTTGAAAATGTTGTCAGTTTCGGTTTCGGTGTAGCATCTGGAAAGTCTCTAATAACAAAAGAATCTTAAAATATCAAGAGTTCTGTTTGCATTGCCTCTATTATCACCCAATAGGCTAAGTTGGTTGTATGTCAAAATGTCAAATATGCACTTAAAGAATTAAAAATACATAAAACAGTCAGAAAGATGAACAGTTATGAACTGTCTTGCAAATACCTGAGGTAAAACACATGACTTTGAATAGCTTACAGGGAGCATGTGAGGCCTGTAGCTATCTAGAATCTCCCTATCTTCTCCCCTTTGATCCTGTTAAAAATGAGAGAATACACCTTACTGTTGAGGTAGGGGAAATAAAAGAAAACAGCTCAGAAAGTAATAATTGCAAAGGAAATGAATTTCAAAACCCTTAGGAGGACACTTCTTCAAGACCTCCATACTTCGGGGGGAAAAAAGCATCATTTCCGGGGCACAATTCAATTAGCTTTTCTTCGAAGTGTAGGGAAAGGAGCTCCAGGGAGAAATCAAAAGTTTTGTCCAATAAAAGAAGTTTTCAAGGATGTAATGCTCTCACTGCCGCCGCCCCCCCCAACACACACACACACACACACACACTATTCATTACCACTGCTTACAAGCTTGCCACTCACAAATGCATCGATCTGCGATTTCTACAGACAAGATATAAATAAATATGTTAAATTAAATAAAGCAGCACCTTGCTGATGCTGCTGTGACAGACATGCCGGTCACGCTTAGCTGACTGTGCCTGGCAGCATATCCTTGGCATTTTTATTGCCTTTTGTCTTCCTTGCCCAGTTATTTGACAGTGATCAGGGGTGATAAATTGTTCAATTAAAGCCACATTAAGAATCAAGAACACACTTGACGTGCAGTCCCTTGGTATACGTGTTGTCCAATTACTCTGAAGGACAAGACTCCTTCTTGGTACTGACAATCAACATGTGACTGTCATCATGAGACAAATGGGTTTATTTATACAACCTAGCAGGCTGATTGAAAACTGGAATGCAAGACTGATGATTTGGAGTTACAACTAAGGTAAAACCTCATTTTCCATTACAAGTGGAAATGTTCAGCCTTTCGTGGAATTTGAGTTGGTTTTTCAAGAACCACAGAATAGAACACAACACCAATTTATTCTCCATCAGGTTGGAGAATTGCCTTTAGTTCAACAAGATGTGAAAATGGTGTAAAACATGCAGTAAATAGTACTAACTGGTATATATAGCTTTCATCTGCATTTTCCCTATTGATTCCCTGGGCTGACCCTGACCTCTGAGGTCTCTAAATCATACTTCTCTGCTATTTTTATGAACTTCAGAAACAAAAACAACTGTGTTTGCTCATCTGTTCAGCAACCTCCAGTAAATGAAATGCATTACTAATCTTTTTTTGGCATGCAGTTGCTGTTGGGGTGGGATGATTGGGGGGGTGGGGGGTATGTTGCCTGGGGAAGGTTTAGCCTTAAATGTTCTGATAAAATTAAGATCCATTGCAATTCAAATTGGACTCACTTGACTTACTGTAGCATGCCTTAACAGAAAAAGAAGAAAAAGCAGGGCCATAGCCCAGAGCTGCATCCAAACTTAAACACAATCAGACATAAGTTACTTCTCAATGCAGAAGACCCTTAAGAAAAAAAGGAGTAATACTGAAAAATTTAAATGATACTGTACAAACATCAGAGAAATAGCTTAAAGAGCTCTTTGTTATACAGGACAACAAAATACCTCCAATCAATTCAATTAAACACTCCACAAAGGTCACTACTATATACTAAAGACACTATACTTATACTATAAATAAAATAGGCTTACTACAGCATTGCAACACAAGACAGAAGAACCCCCTGCACCTAATTTATGGGAATCTCAAAGTGATTTATTTACACAGTGATTCTCCCTACTTCATAAGTAACATTCAGTGTTTAATAGGTATTTCTACGCTATTTCTTAGCACTAAAATAAGTGATTAACATTTGTGCTGCATCAAATCAGGAGTAACTGAACGCTGCTTGGCTCGATGGGGGGGGGGGGGGGTCCCTGGATGTGATAGAGTTAAGGAACCTCTATGGTTAAAATAAAAAAACTACCATTAAGTGCAATCTTCATTTGTTACAGCAAACGCAAATAAACCAAAGTTCACAAACAGATAGGGGACATAAGTTACCTAAAACACATTGAGCACAAGAAAGAACAGCAGAACCTTTTCTTTTTTTGTCTCCCCCAGCAGATTGAGGTCTACTTGCATGAACAAGAGGTAGCCTATATGAAACGGTCCAACATTATGGCAGTAGGGGGAAATGTATCTTTCCTCCACTCTTCCACACTCATTTGGCTTATAATACCTTTAACCTGCTCTCTAAACTCATATCAAGCATATTTCGAGAGTTAAGAGAAAGAAAAGTTGCAGGCACTTACTTCAACGGTAGTATTTCTTTAACTACCCCCTAGTTGCTTTACGGGGGAAAGCTTTTAAACTCCGTATTCTTTGTGGGTGAGCAGTCGTATTCCTTCAGAAAAACAGCTACTTCGCACCCCCGATGTTTGAAGAAAAAAAAAACGTTAGCTATATCCCAATTTCTTCAGCGGCAGAGCAGTCACTTGTTAACGGGGGGAGCGAGTATAAAGTGCCGATATTATTCCCCGTGCGTTTGTATTCCTTTTCCCCGAGATCAGACGCTCTGAGCCAGAATCTCCTCAGTGAAAGAAAAATAAAACACCCTATTATTATCCGTGCGCGACACCGCCGCGCGCGGATCTCCAAATGTCGCCTATATCTCTTTATTGGTGTCTCTCGTTATCTCCGCGTCCCAGGTTTTGGTTCCTTTCTTCCTAAATCCACCTCTCACGGACTGGGGGTGGGGAGACAGGAGTCAAATGCCCCCCTTCTCCCTCCCCTCTATTGCAGGGAAAAAATACGGAGCCTTGTGCTGCGTTCAATGCCGCCTCATAAACTTCGTCTCTTGACTTCTCCTGAATCGTAAATCCTACCACTTGGTGCGCTCAACCACGTTTAGTCAGAAATCAAAACACAGTAGTGGTGCCTGTGACGAACGAGTTATTGTGGCTAATCTTTTATTTTCTAAAAATGTGCTGCAATGGCAGAATGGAGAGGGTGCACGTAAGTAATGCAGAGCAATGATGTAGTAACATAAAGAGCTTAGGAGACAATTGTGAGAGTTTTATGAGAATTTACTTATTAAAGTTGTGAATGTTAGTAAGGATAGGCTATTTCACAATTTCAAAAAGTAAAGTTACTTGTCTAAGATATTTTGACAAACTATTAGGCTAAGGATATAAACTACAAAAACCTGATTTGCAATGAAAAATCAACTTTTTTCATGAAATTGCATACAATGAAGTAAAAAGTGTGATAACTCTTTCCATTATTAATACTAAGTAGTGTTTTTAGGATCTGTAATAGCAAAACATTAAGTCTTACACAATATGAATAATGATGTTTATTGCATTTGCATTGCCTTAGTAGTATAAGAATAATGTAACTTGAGCACTGAGAGAGATGCACAAGTTAGTGGTGCAAACATGTTGGTAGTCAATGCGACATTGTAAGTTCTAATGAACACAGATTCTTTATATATGGATGGAATAATTAATTTCTTTACATGTTCAGATAAACAGTGATGTTTAGTGCAGATTAAACAATTAGGCCTAGCCATTATTCATCCACTCATCATGATTAAACCCATCATTCTCTGTGACATGACTACAATTTTAAAAAGTCACTTAGTCTTTATTGTTCAATGAATATGTATTACTTTTCAGTGACCACTCTACCATGTCATGTCCATTTTGTCCTTGTTCCTATTTAAATTTCAAAACAAATCAAATTAGCATAAATTGTTTTAATTCAAGTGATAATAAAAAACAACCTTTTGAAAAGAACCTTTCTGAATTAAAACAACAACACAACCAAACAAATCACCCTATCCTTTCACTTTGCTGGAAGTGAGGAGGGGCTTAGAACTGATTTCACACAATCACAGTGGCATTGAGCTCAAACAGCAATTCTGATTGGCTGGTAGAATTTGAATTTGAATAGTGATGGCTGGTGTCCACTTTGTCCAGCAGGGAGGTGAGACTTGAGACACATCAATCAACCCACCCACAGTCAGTTACCACCAGCCAGTGTGCAGCCAAACACTACTGCATATTTGGCAGAGGCCAGTTAAATCTTTACTTTCGTTACATTACGTTTTGAGATTATATTCTAATTCAAAATCCATTCTTGCTCAGGAGGTAGCAAAAGTGACTGGCTGAATCTGGGATTTACAATCGATTATGGCCTCTGAACAGAAAAGGCCAGTAGCTGGCTATGTCAAAGCACCTTCCTGAAGCATTTTAAGGCCCAGGGTGTATGATGGAAAATTGAAGGAAATGAGATTGAATTAGGCAGTCTTTGAAAGGGGGCTACAATTTGTGAGGCACAGTGCATCAAATGAAAGGCCTCTCCTGTCCAATTGGAGAGAGAGTAGCAATATATTTTGTGTGAACTTTTCAAGGTATGCAGGCAGTAATAAATGGGAACAGGCCCTTTTAAAAAGACCCATCTTTGCTGTGTGTTGGCAGAAAGCCATCCTGAGCCACAAGCAATCCTCCACTGCCCTCTCTCTGTTCTTTGTTTAAAACCCAGTGTGACATGTAACACACAATAAAGAGGTGTTGGGGTGGTGGTGGGGTAATCAATTTCACTAGTAAGTAAAAAAAACATGAGTTTATGTTACGTATATTTCTTCCATGGCCTCTTATTCACATTACAGCCCCTTATTTAATCAGGCCAGTTAACATTAGCAGCAACCCAGAGTTCTCACCGCTATTCCCCTGGTGGCATGAGCCTTAACATGGTAAATTTCACACGGGTAGGGAAATGCGCTCAGTGGCCGAGGCTAGTGCTTTGGAAGGATAAAAAGAGCACTTACCGCCTGACATGTGCAATCCATAACGGAATAATGAGACTCCTCCACACTGGGAGCTCTCTTCCCCTGCTCTCCTTCTCCACTTTTTGTTTTCCTTGTGAGTGTTCATAAATGCCATGTAAATTCAGAGAGTGGAAGATGTGGCGAGCACTCGAGGGAAAGCGTTTAATCGTTTGCGTCTTGTTACCAAGATCCTGTAACAGCATGTACTGTATGAAGATGGTCCTTGCTGAAACTACTGGCCTCCTTTTGTCAACCTGTTATGCCTGCAAATGAAGGTGATCCTCAATTGTCACTGTTGTCCAACAGAAAACACTAGCATGCAAGAAAAAAGCAGTTCATTTCTAATTTCTTTTCAAATTATAGATAAGTACTACTGCTACATTGTGTATGCAATAGTTATTTTACCAGATTTTTAAGGACTTGGGTTCACGTCAACACTGCCAAAGTTAAGTTTGTTGATTTAGATGCATATTTACAGTTCTTTCTTGCCCCCTGTCCTGTTTTTAACTCAATGTGAGCCTGTTAAAAATAGGACACCACTTCTTTCCTTATTGTCTCCCTGCTCCCCTCCGTTCATCTATGTCACCCCTAGGGGTTGAGGCACAATCACCTCTGATAGCAGCGGGCCATCGCTCACTCTGTCCCTGGAGGCGACAGCCCACTTACTGCCAGCTCGTGCTCAAATGGTGGACATTTCATCACCCCACCGAAAACACAATTAAAAACACACGCACGCTGCGTTCGGTGGCCCCCGAGAGCCAACCCCCCTCGCGTGTTTAGTTACTCTGAGCCTGCCTCACCATCTCAGATATTTACTTTCCCTGAGGTTGACTGTTTGTCAGCTAAGTTGGAAAGTGCTCTGTGGTGTTTTACTGCAAACAAGACACTGGAAGAAAGAGAGAAAGTCGACCAGCGCTCAGTGTTTAACGCTCTCTGAGAGGCATTTGCTGCCTTTGGTGGACATGTTGCCTCAACAGTTAGCTGATAAGTGACTGTGCTCTGGGCTGGAATCTTTGTTTCTTCCTGGAAGCCAAAATGGAGGATGGTGTGCTTGGGTTTGTGGTTATGTGTAATTTGCTTAACACACACAAACAGCGAGCAGGAGAAAAGGCAGACTGACAGCTATTAGAGTGCAACGACACTCTTTCTTATCTCCCACCATGATAGAGATCTACAAAGTGTTTGAGAGAGATTATGAATCCATTACCTTGATACACAAGTGAGCATTGCGATAGACAGGAGTTTGAGAACGGAGATGGGAGCTCGGTGGATGTACTGGGTAGGGCAGGGGTGGGAATGCAATGAATTACATGCTGCTGGGTAGAGAATAAATCTGTTGTCTCTCTCTGCATTTTTATGAATGTTTGAGATCCTCAGATGCCATGTTAGATGTGGTGCATTTATCCGTGAAACACATGCATTTGTATGTTTCATCAGGTGGTCAGGTCTTCACTGTCTTGGTGAGCTTCACTTCAACACAAAAGAAGATGTGAGCACCTTCATCCTTCTCTCTTTAATTTTTGATTTACAGCAATATCTGTCTATATCAATGCTGACATTAAATTGATTGTTTTTATTGTGTTTAATTTCTTCTGTTTTTAACAGTATTTCAAAGTATAGACAAAGGCAGTGCAGCATCTGTGATGTGTGTTAATTGGTGACATCTTGGTGGTGCTGCTCACTGAATTGCTCACTCCTCAGAGTGGGCCTGGCCACTTTGTATGCTTTTGAGGCTCACAGCAATGTCAGCAACATCCCATTGTTGCGCAGCCCAGTTCGTTAAATCCAATGATCGCATAACAAGTCTAACAATGATCTTTGTGGAGAAGACATCAGATAAATGCCTAAATTATAGTGTTATATGTTCGTATAATGCATTAGAGTCTGTATAACCCTCTTGGAGGACTTTTCTGTTACCAGACACTCACTTCATCCTGCCTCTCTTTCTCCTTAAACTCTCGTGCATTTCTTTTAGCCGGCTCACTCTCAATATGGCTTTCTCTCTCAGAATGTTTTCCCTCCAGCTCTGTTGGACTCAGCTGACATTTGGAGGCAGGTGAAAGAGTGCAGCTAAATAAACCAAAGAATTTCTGAAGAAAGAGTGAGGACAGAGGAAGACACAGACATAGAGGGAGTGTTTTGTATTAATGTGTTGTTTTATCTGCTGCCTACTGCTGCTTGAACGGTACATTTCTACTGCCAAGCTTGCATTACTGGACTGAGCGGACGATTACTTTAACTGTGAATGTTGTAAACTAGCGGTTTCATGTGTTCCCCACTGGTGTTTATCATGTGTAGGGTTAGACCAGCAGGCTATTCGCCTTTTATTACACATACATTATATCAGATAGTCACATCAATACGTGATGCTGAGGTTACTCCATGACTATAGCTACTGTATAGAAGAAGATAAACAATTTCATCACTACTGGAGGATTCATACCATTTGTGGGATAACACTGATCAAACATAAACTTTGCAAAAACTATCATACCAGCATCATTAATGTAAAAATATAATTTCATCAGCCATCTAAAAGTCTTGCCTTTTTGTCTTCAATATTGTTTATACTCTCTTGTTTTTAGTGTGAAAATAAGAACTTCTACTGACTGATCTACATGTAATGGTATAGCACCATGTAAATACATCTTCAGCAAAGAAACATATCTTAGATTGTTTAGAGGCCTTGCTAAAAAACAGTGTATTTTATGCTGTGTAGGAGGGATTTTATGCAGTAATAGGCCATTACTCTGTGTACATGTTGTGTGTAGTGTTCCGTGAATATGTATTTTGTATGTACACATGTGCTGTGTGTGCATATGTGTCTTTCACTGCGTGTATGCTCAAGCACATGTGCCTCTCAATGTCTGCCATTGTATACATTTTATGTACACACTGTATGTGCGTGCATTTGAGTGCTTGAATGCTTTCGGGTCACTGTG